CGAATTTGTCCATAATTCGGATAATGGTTTGATTAAAAGCATCCTTCTTGTGATACTTTTTCTCTTCTTTAATCTTGGTAGTTAATAGCTTTACGAGTTGAGGCCACCAAATCTAGGAGCTCCATTCTGGAATTACAAATGTCGCTATTGATCCCTGGATTTGATAAGATGAATGAGAGCTTGACTGATCAATCCTATTGGGTTTAAGGAACACAATAACTCACTAGTTCTTTTACCTAGTTGGCTTCTCAGGGAGTTTCAGACAGCGGGTAATTGGGTCCATAAGAAAACACACATTTGGATTGGAATACAAAAAGGTATTTATTTAAAGAGAGATTAAACATGCTTCAATTCAATCGTAGAACTGCTTTCTTGTGTTTGCATGTATGAGTGTGAATTTCTTGTATTGTTCTTATCTTTACCGAGTTTCTTTACTACAAACCAAATAATTACTGCAATTAGTAGGGCAGTTAGTGGAATGAGGACTAGTAACATTAATAACCACATTAATGGATTGCTAGTTGCAGGTTTTTTGACAATTATATTTGAATTTGATGAAGAGGAGGTTGATGCAGTTTCAATTGATTTGTATTCAAGAATTGCAAGATTATATCTTAATGAAGAGCATTCACAAGTTGCTATTTGGTTCTTGATAGAAATGGAACAATCAGTTTCCAATGATGCTGATCCAATGTTAGCACAAACATAAGTTGACTGACTGTCGTATTGTTTCATCTCAATGTCGAATAAGTATTTTGAATAAGATTGAGGTGAAGGATCAAGTTGTAAACTATTTACAACTGAATTGATAGATATCATCTTTCCAGGTTGCTTTAAAATTGCAATGGTATCTGTATTTTTTTGAATATTCCATCTATACTTGATTGGTGACTTGATTGAATTGGTTTTCAAGAAAGATGAAATGTTCAATGGTAACGTGATATTTACCATCTCACTTTCGAATTTCATTCCATTCATTTCATTCTTGAAATGCTTGTTTAAAACTGTCAAATAACTGTTAGTTTCAAATTTAAATGGTGTTTGACCAATTAAAACATTTCTCAATAAAACTTGTCCTAATAATTCAAAAGTTTCCAATAATTTTTCATTTGAAACTAAAGCCATTAAATTTTCTTGCAAATTCATAATATTTTGCAAGTTGACCAAATCGCCTCTAGACAGAACAAAGGCAGTGCTTGATTGAACTGATGCCAAAGCATCTCTCAATAAAAATAAACTAGAGTTGGCCGTTTGGTTGGAATGATATTCAGAATTTTGTGAAATTGAATTCAATCCAAATAATAAATTTGTAATGTAATTTCTATTTGTTGATTCTGCAGCAGTTGTCATGATTTGACTGGAACCCATAAAATCATTCAATAAATCTCTAATTAAAGATTGAATAAATTCAAAATCTTCAATGGTCCATCTACAATTACTTGTTGTAAATCCAGAATTACAAACACATTTCCCATCCTTAAATTGTCCATTTCCATTACATAAACCTCTCTTTGAACTTATACTGTTAATTAATAAATTCATTGTTCTAGAAATGGTTGCAGTATTGAAAACACTTCGTTGATAATCACCAATAGGAGCCAGTGCTGCAATTTGGTTCCAAGAAGCTGTTAACTTTTTGATTTCTGCTAAACTTTTGACAACTGGAAGAGTGATGGTAACTTGTTTGGTTGTTATGGAGCTAGATCCTGTTAATGGATCAATTACCTTGATATAAAGATCTAATTTGTTTCCAGAATTTGGCATTGGAAGTTTTTGATATAATTCTTCTGTTTTAGAAAGTGGAAAGGTAGATTTTGAAAAATCATCCATAAAACCATATTCGAAAGTATTACTATTCTGATCGTTTTGACATTTTGGACAATTGAAAGTAAATATTGTTGTCATTGCAATACCACTCAAAGGTGACACTTGACAGTCACATGGTTTTGGTGATTTGTTAATTATAAATGAATGATTCAAAGAGGCAGATAACAAAGACTCAATATTAGTAACTTTGAAAGAAATTTGATAAGTAGAACCTTCTGTCAAAGAAGACGTGTCCAAAATTAATTCGTTGGACTCGGAAAGTTGCATTCTCATAGTACTTGTCAATTCTGAAGGAATAGATTGACCATTCATTGTCCATTCTCTAATAATATTGCTGCTTGCACTCGAAACAATACTTTGTACGCTTAATAAAGTTCCCTTATTCAATTTAGATGGGGGTGAGTTAGCTGGTGTGATGGAAGGTGGAATTTTTTCAGGAGATTCTGGGAATAAAATGGAGAGAGTTGAAGTGGAATATCTGGAAACCTTACTTGACCTTAATGAAATGTCGAATTGAGAAGCACCGTTCACTAATGATTTTGTAATTGTTAATGTATTATTCTTGATAGATGATAGATATTGTAAGATGTTGTCATTGTTATTCAAATTATTGGTAGACCATTCTCTTTCGAATGGAATAGTTTGCAAATCAGAATCCATTTCTTCAATCTCAATTGTTACTTGGTCAATTGTTAATTCAATTTGGATCAAGTTAACAACCAGTGGACTAGCTGTCATTTGGATATTAAGATTGGCTGATGAAATTTGATCTTCTTTGCCTTTCAAATATGATGAAACTTTAACTTGATGTGTTAACTGTGCCAAATCATTAAATTTAACAATCTTCAAGTTATTGTAAGAGTCAACTTGATATTCCATTCCAGTTCCACTCAAATATTCCCATTTTACAATAATTTCAGAGTTTGAAGGTAAACAAGAAGGTAAGGTTATTAATTTTCTTACAATCAAAGGCAATGAACTTGTTGAAAGAGAAAGGCTGTCACTTCCGTCAATAGAAATGACAGGTGTTGCATAATTCATCTTTTGGAATGTGACTTGCTTAGATGAGGATGCTTTCAAAATTTGGCTTGTAGCTGTCAATTTGAAAGTATGACTTCCAGCATTTATACTGTCAAAAATGATTGACAATTTGCTTGAATAATTGTTTGGAAGTGTCATCATGTTTGAAGATACAATTTCCCATTTATAGGAAATTTGTTTTCCATCTGTGGAATAACTTTCACTTGCATCCAATAGAATATTTTCACAACTTGAATATGTTGTTTTTGAAGAAATTAAAATTGTTGGGCGAATGGGATTTTCAGCATTTCCAATTTTGAATGATTGATAATCATTTCCTAATTTGTTTCTATTAAACACATTTCTATTCAATAAAATTTCTTGATCAACTTGAATAGAATTATCAGTTCCCAATTCAATAATAAAATCATTGGATGTCTTATTAGAATATCTACAAACTACATTTGAACCAAATGAGGAAATACTTGAAGAATCTAATAAATTGTTACAATCAACATTTAAGGATGTGAAATGATTTGGAGAGGTCATTTGGAAAAGTAATCCATTTCCTTCATTATTGAAATGTACATTGGACAATTGAGTCATGCAATCTTCTCCATAAAATCCATCATTGCAAGTATTACAATTAGTTCCATTCCAATAACCGTTAGTTTCGTCTTGGAAACAAGTACAGAAACCATAGTCATCACATGTACCATGTGAATTGCATTTCAATGTAGCATTACACTTTTCAATAACAGTACAATTAATTCCAGAGTATGGAATTTTACACTTGTCACAATTTGTTCCAACAAAGTGACCATCAATATCATTATCAAAACATGAACAGTTATTTGGAGCATTACATTTACCAACTCCATTGCAAACTTTCTTTGAATTCGATGAAATTCCATAGCAGATTGGATACTGACATATTGGCCCTTCGTAACCTTCCTCACAAAAACATCCAACAGTTGACATGTTGAATTTACATGTACCATGTTGAGAACAAACTTTTGGATCTTTTTGTGGTAACCACATATCAACTCCTGCCTTACATAAAATCGTTTCACATTGTGGACCTATTGCTCTTCCACTTTCGGATTCCAAACAAGTACATTGATTAGCACCTGTGCATTTTCCTTGACCATTCGTACAAGCTTTCGAGTCATTATTGGATTTAAAACCAAAGCATGAATGAGAGGAACAAGTTTCTCCATCATATCCATCTAGACATTTGCATGTGTCCAAGGTTATGCATTGGCCATGGGAGGAACAAACTGAAGAATTGTAAAATGGAATTCCAAAACAAGATGGGAAATTACACTTAGCCCCAAACCATTTAGGATTACAAGAAC